CTGGTATAGAAACTGGAGGGTGTTTGTAAATGACAAATAACTCTTTATTGACCTCATTGCCACAGACGGCTTCAGGTGAGAGTTCTTTTGCATCTTGTTTTCTCTTTTTAATTCTCCATTTCTGAATCTGTCCTCCTCTCCCTGATGTTCATACCAAACTTCAGTGTGAATGACTTAAAGAGCTCCTATGAACACAGGGACTGGCATTAGTTAGATGCCCAACAAATACATGTGGATTCTGAGTTTGGATAGATTAACGTGTTTCCCTCCAAGATAACATATTGTTACGGAACGGCATACTTAAACTCTCCAAAGCATTTTTGATGATCAAGTAAATTTGGTAAAACTTGGGTGAAACAGTCTTCTTACTATAAGAATTCTCAGATCCTTTGATATGCATGTGTGTGTTTATGTGTGTGTCTTAGGGAGAAGAGGGAATCTGGGGGTGATGGGTGTGGTGTACATTGCTTCCCAAACTGACTTGACCATGGAACCCTTTTGTTTTTTGAGAGACCAGTATTCCACAGAAACCCATTTCAGAACACACAAGTCCTTGGTCAAATACAGTAGACACCAAACCTGACATTGTTTGCCTACTAAAAGTAAAACAGGCAGATTTCCTGAATTCAAAGAAAATTTAAGTCACTCTATACAAATGTCCTCGGAGTTAAATTTTTCTTCTGTCCTATTTTCTTTAACTTTTGGTGCCTGCTATAAACAGCTGGCAAACAAGTGACAGATAATATGTGTCAATCCTATGCACAAATATGCATTACACAACTATTCTGTCATGATACTGCTTATGGTTTTTATTTCTTCCCACTGAATATGAAGATCTTGATTTAAATAGCTAATCACATATCTCCCAACAAGGTGTTTTTCTGCCACCATACCCAGAGGGGTTTAAAGAACTAGGGACTTTATGAAGACTCATAATTTTGTTAATAACTGAACAGGCCATAAAACAGGAAGCCAATAAATAGTATAAAAGTAATTTAAGCATAATGTAAGTGGAACAACTCTGGCTTTTCCATGTAGAATAGAATCCGGCATCGACTCCAGCCGCTGTTCACTAGGAATATAGCAGGCAGGTTAGCCTTGATCAGCTTCACATCTGAAGGCACATCTTCTTTTGGTACTGCCCGTGGTTTGCTAATGTTTTTCTGGACAATCTGCACTCTTCTTGCCACAGTTAATTTAATGTTTAGATCTTGCATCCTTGTTCTTTTCTTTCCCTCATTCTTTCAAGGTATAACCTACTACAAACAGACATTGAGGTAGGTATTGGAATGGTACTTTATTTGTATTTGCAGAAACTTTTCAGTTTGGAATTATGCAAAGCTCAAGTTCACTTTAATTATTAAGTTTTTATCAATGGTAAATCTGAGAACATGTGCTTCCTCTATTCTATAAAATATCATCCACTGATTGTGAATTATGCTGGCCATACTTCTTTTTATTTTTTAATTTCCCATTCTCAGGTCCCTTAAGCTCTGCTCATTCTCTACTCCACAGAGCAGTTTGGCTTTTGGCTGCACCAACATCTGAATTCTGATGGGAGGAATCCCATTCAACTCCTTCTGGTGAGAAGAGAAACAATCCGATTGGGGCCAAGCTGAAAACATCTATTCAATCCATCCCTATCCATCAAACTGCGCAAAAAGAATGCCGTGACTCTTCTTGGGTAACATCATTAAACATTCTCCCCTAATATCTGTAGTAACTGAGGGAAACTTATCATATAATTATCATACCAAATGGTATGTAGGTTAAATACCCCAGACTATAACATGAATGATCAATTAGCAGATTAATTTATCCAAACACTCCAGCCAATTACACTCAGCTCAAATTTTGTGTTTCTTATGGTTATGTTTATGATTTCATATGAAAAATATATTTTCTGCTAGATTTTTTTTAGCAGAAAGTGATTTGATATTCATATACGAATTTATATATGAATATATGAAATGTCTCATTATTTTATAATGTTCCACAAACAGTATAATGGTCTACAGAAAATGCCACGGCGATAGGAGCCTTTACTTTCCGAACACTGTCAGGAGCTGTGTGGACTTGGAGGCCCTAGCTCTGGCTGGGGAGACATTTTTGGGCTTCACAAATGACATCGCATCACTGTGCCAAATGCCTGACCATTTTCCAGCAAGGTTAGCTTTAAGCAAAAGCCCTATAAAAAGTATGGACGGTAAAAGTGGTTCTTCTCCTGAAGCCTCCGATAGTAAATATTAATAATAAAAATGTTATCATTTATAAATGCTTCCTTTTGGATCACCTTAATCCATTTGAATGTGCTTTTCAAACCATGTTCTCCAGGTAGAAAATTGGGTTTACCCTCAGTCCCATTATTTGGTACTGAATGTAGGTATCTTTTCTTCCTGATACATGTACCTTGGGAGGAATATTTCAGTGTAATTGTGAAGAATAGCAAGAAGGAAAGGATGAAAGTGACCACTTTAGTGAAAGAAATGAACAATAATGAAAGTGAATCTTTTAGTCCACACCCGTTTTTCAAATTGCAGGTTGCAATCTATCAGAAGCTTATGAATTTAACTTAGTGGGTGGCAACAGAACATCAAAGAGTGTCTTGCTTGCAGGTAGAAAGGATAAGTATTTTTACATACATTTTTAAGTATAAAAACCATGTATTTTTTCAGTTTTATATATAGATACCTAAATACTACTAAAAGATAATACTATACTTGTCTGTACATGCTAACTCATAATGTAAGATCTGCTCTTCATTGTGTCATGGTCAAATATATATATATATATTTTTAAAGATGACCGGTCAGGGGATCTTAACCCTTGACTTGGTGTTGTCAGCACCACACTAACCCAGTGAGCAAACCGGCCATCCCTATATGGGATCTGAACCCGTGGCCTTGGTGTTATCAGCACCGCACTCTCCCGAGTGAGCCACAGGCCGGCCCATGGTCAAATATTTTTGAAAGCCATAGGTACGTAGGTGCAACAAAGGGATACTTTTAAGGCAATTTACACTGATTCTTTTGGTACCTTCCTCTGTAATAAGTTAAAAATCTATCCTAAACAATATTCATATTGCAAATTGTTTAGCCTACACTTCCATCAATTTACTGCATACATGAGAACTTCTTTCCACCCACACCGTAAGATCATGAATTCTGTACACATAATCCCAACACCTATGCAAATTTATTACCACACTTTGCCTGGCATTCTGCTGCGTTCCCTTTCCTTTGCTCAGACCTGCTCTACAAGATGATGTTGTAAATCAGAATACTTCCCCATGTTCATTGGTTTGGAACTTTAAACTCAAAGAAATTTGGAAGCATTCTGTAAGTGCCTGTGGCTCTTCACCTCAGCTGAAGGCTCACTGGACTCATGAAAGTCCATCTCAGGCTTCACTCCACCTGGGAAGGGTCTGATGCCAGATCAGTGAGTTTTGCCTCTTCCCTGGCCACAGACTGCCTTGACAGCCTGGATGGATCAGAGTTAGTTCATCTCCATTAGGGATTAAGGAAATTTATGTTTCCGAGGGCTTAGGCCCTGCCCGGCCTTGTTCACTAGGTGCAATATGTAGGTGATCTCTCGTCTCAGTATTGGTTTGACTTGTGTATGTTCTCTACTGGACATCCATTATGGAAAGGACAGCATCTTTTATTTCTGTGACCCCAACATCTTGTACAGTTTCTGCAAAATAAGGGGAACTTGATAAATGTTGGTTGATAGAATGAATGATCACCTACACTTATAAAATGGATGAGGAAATAATCTCAGTTAGGGTTAAATAGTTCATCAACAGAGAATAGGTTAGAGATAAGGTTATAATCTAGCTCTTGTTGACTCTAAAATCCATGACATTTTCACTTTGCTTCATGAGCACTTCCAAAAAAATCATTCTAGGAACTTTGTTACCAATAATGGGCTTGAATTGCTACCATCCTATATGAAAGAAAAGTGGTGATAATAATGACGATGTTGATGAATCTCAACTTTTGTAATGATACTTTCTTAGAGATTTGGCTTTAAAAGATGGAACTATCAGGAGAAAGGCAAGAAAAAAAGATATGGCAAAAGAACAGAGAGTTATCCTTCAGTGCCTTTAGTTTCTCTGTATGGTGGTTTATCTATCTACAAGAGGGAGTCTTAGTGCTTGCTCCAGGAGCAGACAATTGTGCATACATCAATTTCACTTTGTTACTTGTCTCCACGAGGCTAGAGAGACAATATACTGTGGAGGAGTGGCTCTCAACTTGGGGAAATTTTCTCCTCCAGGGCACATCTGGCAATGTCTGAAGACATTTTTGGCTGTCACAACTTGGGAGTGGAGGTGCTCCTGGTATCTATTGGGTAGAAGCTAGGGATGCTGCTAAACATCCTCTAATTCACAGGACAGCACTCAACAAAAAAAATCACCCAACTCAAATGCCAATAGCACCATTTTTGAGAGACTCTGCTATAGAGATTAAGAATGGCTCTCCAGCTGGACCATCTGGGTTGAGCTCTTAGCTCCTCCACTTTTTATCTGTGTGGCCTTGGGCTATAGTTGTTCAACTCTTTGTGCCTCAGTTTCCACATTGATTAAATGAAGATAGTAATAGTATCTTACATTATATGATTAAATGAGTTAATGCAAAAAAGGCAGTTAGAATAGTAACTGGCAAATAGAAGTTCTTGATAAATGTTACTATTAAAGAAACTTGTGGATTAAATAATAAATAATGCTTTGGTGAACATACATCTTTCTTGGTGCTTCCATCATTTCTACTAACAGTAGAGAGAAAGTCTTTCCCCGTTTACATTTTAGCTGGCTTGAAAAATAGATACTGTTGTCCTTTCCTGGGGCAGATTTTTTGGTGTGAATATCTCAGAACACCCAGTGGGTCTACCAAGTGGTAGGATAGCCTGCTAAGTATTGTGTTAGTTGTGTGCAGTTATCACCTTCAGCTGGGTCTGCCTTCTTTCTCTATTGCAGGTGAATATTCTAATGGGTGAAAATGAAGTCCCAGGCAACCATGATTTGCTGTTTAGTGTTATTTATGGCCACAGAATGTTCCCACTATCGATCCAAGATTCACAGAAAAGTAAGTTTGATTCATTCCTATGTGGTCCTAAGAGAAATCCTTCAGTTCCCCTAGATGTATAAATTTCTGATAAATAACATGCTGTTTTAAATAAGTTTTCAAATGATTACAACTTTCCTCTCACTGATAGTAACTTTCTAAAGAATGGAATAAAGAAAAGTTGAGAGGTGGCAAGGATTTTCCGAAGAAGCAATGTACAGTAGAATAATCACTTTGCAAGCCACAGAGAATGCAAACAGGCAGCTGATGAAAGGAGAAAGTACTCACCTGGCAATTGAGCAACTGAGGTTCAGGTCCTCACTGTGTTTCTCACAGTCGTACAAGCTTTTCACTTCTGGGTCTTAATTTCTTTATCTATAATATAAAGGTTTTAAAAAT